GGGGGGGGGGGGGGCGGGGTGGCCACAGCCAGGCCTGAGACGAGCCAGGGACCAGCCCCACCGAGTCCCGTGAATACACGGCGCCACCAGGCCCGCCGCTCCTGGGGTGGGGGCGGTTAAGCTGAGGCACAGACGCTAGCCTCCCACGTGTGCACGCGCCGGGCAGACCTCACTTAGGGTCACGTCCAGGGAGGGTCCCGGACGGGGGACCCCGTGCCCACAGGCCAGCTCTTCCCCACCCCGCTCCCCAGCCCCTGCCTGCTGGGCTGCGGCGTGGTGGCTGCCCTCATGGACCCTCCTGGCCAGGCCAGCAGCTGGCCCACGTGAGCCCAGGGGTGCCCGAGGCCGGTGCCCCACCCCCACCCAGACCCTCAGCCCCTTCCTTCACCCCGTGGCCAGCATCTCACTGCCGTCCTCCCTTCTCCCGGCCCACGTGGCCCAGCTGGCCCGTCCATGGGTTGGAGACAACTAGGACGGCCACAGACCCTGCACCCTCCACGGGCTCCAAGAGTGGGACCCGCGGGTGGGGCTCTGCTGGAGCAGCTCTCCGGGGGGCTGGGCTGCAGCCGAGGTGGTGCACAGCCCGGTGGGCACCAGGGCAAGTGGGCAGGGACGGCAGGGCCCTGGGGACACATCCCAAAGCAGCTGCACGGACTCAGGCCCGTGGCCTTGCGCACCGCACACAGCCTAAAGACAAAACTGAAGGCCGCAGGCCAAGTCCAGCCAGACCTGCATCCTGAAGGAGGACAAGGTTTTTAAACTGTCAACCTTCAAATATCAGGGGAGTGCACATAATAGACCAAACCTTTGGAGAGGCGACCTTCTGAGCCACACCGAGCCCACCGGCCCCCAGCACCAGCGGCTGGAGCTGAACGGCAGCTGCCCACCACTCGGGCTGTCCACCCACAGCTTGGGGTGTCTGCCCATCACTCGGGATGCCTGCCTGTCACTCACCCCGAACGTCCCGCTTTACTCAGGAAGGCTGCCCACCTCTGGGGACACCTGCCCATAGCTTGGATGTCCACCCATCTCGCAGGACATCTGCACACGGTCCCTGTGGCCCCACCCGGCTCAGCCCTCCTCACCACCTTGTGAGCCTTGAGCAGCTGGACCCCTCTCTCCTGGGGACAGCCGGGGACACCGAGGCCCAGAGGGCCTGCCTGGGTGCCACAGGGCAGCACAGCGCTGGGACTCGAGCTGCGGCGTCAGCCGCCAGCCCGGGCTCTCCTCTGCGCCTCGGCTGCTCTGGCCCAGAGTACACGCATCAGGACACCAGGGCCGCAGCCCCGGGCCCTCCCCAGAGATGGGAGGGAGGGAGCCCATGTCCCTGAGGGGCGGGAGAAGGAGCTGGGGGCCGGGGGTCTGTCCTGCCCTGACCCTGGCCAACAGGCCGTTGGGTCAACTCTCAACACCCACTCAGCCCCGAAGGTCCCTTCGCCCCTCACGTGCAGGCCCTGGGCTGGACGCAGGGCAGACACGGCACGGTGGGCAATGCAGGCCCTCATCCCACAGCAGCCCCCCAACCTACGTAACAAGAAGCAGCAGCGTGGGGGGCCTCAGGGGTCTGCGAGGAGCTGGAGGACAGCCGGAGCTCCCCCAACCCCCCGGGGGATCAGACCCCCGGCAGGGGGAGGGGGCAGGGCGGCTGTAGCACCTCACACCACTGCTGCAGGAGCCCTCCGCCCGCTCCCAGCCCAGGGACCCCCCAGCTCTACCCAGAGCCACCCCACAGGAGGCCTGGCTCCCTCTTCCAGCCAGTCCTGAGAGGCGGGGGGCAGGGCCGGGGGGTGGGCGTGACACTGCAGGTGAGGGAGGGTTCTGGGAGCGGAGCACGCACACAGGAGCATCTTCAAACTGTCCACCCTCCTGCCGGTGACGCGGGGTTCGGCCTGCACGTCCGCCCGCCCACGACCAAGGCCAGGACGCTATCCACACCCAGGAAGGGTACGCGAGCCCCCCCGACCCCAGTCTCGGGAAACGGCACCGCCGCGTACCTCCAGCCCTAAATCGGGGTCCTCCTCGATCCCCCAACATCTAACCCAAGTCCACCCATCTCCCACCCCTCAGCCACATGACCCCTGTTCCTTTCACCCAGTCACCCCAAAGTCCAGCACACGGGAAGAGCCCACGTTTGTGGGAAAGCACAGATTCGTAAAAGACAGACTGAGAGACGGACAAGAGGACAGAGAGAACAAGACAGCAGTGGGGGCAGTGGGATGAGCCTGCAACACACAGAGGTTCCCACGGGGTCACTGGGAACGGGGAGCGGAGGGCGGGGGGGAGGCCCTCGAGGGCAGGCAGTGGAGGTGGTACACGGCACAACCCCTCCCGGGCTACAAGAGGGCCAGGGCCACATCGCCGCCCCACACACTGCCTGGGTTGGCACGTGGGCACGTAGGACCCTCTGTCCCGGCCCGAGTCTGGCTGTACTCTGCCCCAGGGCTTTGCCCACCACCACACCCACTGTACCCATGGGGAAACCAAGGCCCAAGGAGTCACAGACTTGCCCTTGGAGAAGGAGACAGCGATGCGGCAGCCGAGTCAGGTCAAAACCCAGCTCCCCGGACGCTCCGCTGGGCCCAACACCCTGCGCCCCCAGAGCACACACCCAGAGTGGCACTCTGAAATTCACCCAGCACGAGAGGGGCACTCCCACCTGAGCCTGGCTGGCCAGTGGATGCCCCAGTAACTGGGACAGGAGCCCTGGCAGCCCTGAGGCCTAGGCATCTCCCAGGTCAGTCCTTAATCGAACAGTCAGTTAACAAACATTTGCCAAGGATTAAGAGGTACCGGTCCCCTTGTGCTCTTGTGCTGCCACCAGGCACAGAGGGGAGGACGGGGACCAGGGTCAGAGAGGGCATCCTTGCCACCAAAGAGGGCTGAGGTGAGGCAGACAGAGTAGGACCTGATGGGGAGTGGGGGTAGGAGGCACCAGGCACAAGAAGTGGTGCTCCTGGGGGTCAGGAAGGGGTAAACATTGGGGGAGGGGATCCAGAAGGCCGCTGGGTGCAGGAAACCTTGGAGGGGCTCGCCACGGACCACAGGCCCCTGCGGCCACCTCACCTCCGTCTTGAGGCCCAGTGCACTGTCCTCCCTGCAGCCGCCTAAGTGAACTCTAAAAACACACAGCAGACCACATCCTTGATCCCCTGCTTCGTGCCCTCTGCAGCCCCTTGAGGTCTCAGCTCCATCACTCCTGTGCTGCCCACCACAGCTCCTGCAGCTTCCCAGCCTGCTCTGCTGGGAGGCTCCTATGCATCCCACAAAACCCAGTCTCGTGACACCCACTTTTGCCGTGCCTCCCTGTGTGCTCCACCTATGCCTGAGATTCCCCCTCCCAACAGCCTGTGGGATCCCGAGATGAGGACGGGGACACCCTCACCAGAGGGTGTGCATGAAGAGTGGCGTGGCTAGTGGCTAGCTAGCATGGGATCGCCAGAGCTTTGGGAGGGAACAGGTCTGGAGGAAGAGCAAGTTGGGGGAGCAGGTGGTGAGTGGCCAATCCCCGCCCTGGAGCAGGAGGGAGTGACTTACCTAGGCACCTGGACACCAGCCCCCACCCCCCGCACCGGCCGCCAAGCAACAGAGGGCCGTGGGGCAGGCAAGGCCGGAAGGTGAGGGGCCCAGACCCAAGCTCCCGTCCCAGCAGCTCCTCACTGAGCCCCTCCCTGGGCACACGGCCATATGAGTGAGCACAGGGGAGGCTGAGGGGGCTCCAGGCCAGCTGGCTCGGCAGCTCCAGCATAAACCTGCCCCAAGCTGGGCCACTGGGTGGCATGGAGCCCCCTCCCGCCTACAGCCAGGCCAAGCAGCCCTGCTCTGCCCTCAGGAGCCCTCGGGCAGCGCCCCGGGCCGCTAGTGCGCCAGGCCTTGGACCGGCCCCAGCGTCCCCACTGCCTTCCAGGAAAGTGGGTGGCTCTTCCCGCCCATGGCCCCAGCCAGGCAGCCACTCACGGGCTGCACGCCGGCCCAGGGCACACGTCCCCGCCCGGGAGGTCCCACGAAGCCATGCCCTCTAGGCCGTGGGGACACTGGGCCCCAAAGCGCACCCGGGCCGGTCCAGGAGGGTCCAGGAGCCCAGGGAGGCCTCGCTCACCCGGCAGCCACGGCCCAGGCCGCCCCGGGCCACTGAGGAGCCGCAGGCCCACTTGGGACCCTCACCCCCGGCCAGCCCCGTGGGCACTGACCTCGTTTGTGCAGCCAGCCCTCCTTCACGATGGCCACGTCATTCATGGTGCCGGGGCTCCCGCAGGCCTGCGTGGCCCAGACCTCGCTCACACGCCTCTAGCAGAGTCCTCCCAGAGCCCAGCGGGCTGTCAACAGCCTCTGGAAGAAGCAGAGGGAAGTGTGAGGCTGTGCTGGGCTTGGGGACACTCCTCGGACCTCGAGGTGAGCCCAGGAGGCCTGTAGCGCGTGGGGACTCAGCCCGGGTGTGCCTTCCCACACGACCTGTCCCCTCTTAGCATACAGAGCCACCGTTGGCCCCCGCTCTGCCTTCCTGCCACGGCACCTGATACAAAGTCACTCACACTGCTCCCTGGGCCCAGGCCTCCCCTCCCCCTGGGCTTCAAGCCCCTGCCACCGCCCCTCCTGGACCCCCAAGCCCTCAGAGCTCACTGCCCCCCTTACCGACCCATTCCCACGTACCCTGACCTTTGTACAAATCACTCCCGTCCCCAAAAGGCCCTCCTGGTATATCCCAGCCTCCCTAACCTGCCGGCCCAGCGGAGGCCACCTCTTCCAGGCAGCCCCTCTGACTGCTTCAGCCCACACCTCTCAGCCTCCCCAATCCCCTGGTGAGGGTGCCCAGTTGTCCTTGTCCATGGTGTTCCTGCCCAGAGGCTGGGGCTCCCAGGCAGAATCCAGAGCTCCCCTTCCCTAGCCCCGACTGGGAAAGGAGAGAAATTCAAACGTGGCGTCTGAAGAAGGCAGGGGCAGGAGTGCAGGCAACTGGTGCAAATGAGAGCCCGGGGCCCTCCAGGGTGACATGAAAACCCCCTACACACACCCATCCCAGGGAAACGCCAATCCCCTCCTAAACCACAGCGCCCCCGCCGCTCTGAATCTGGTTCATTCATTTGGCCAATATGTGCCGGGCATCTCTGGTTTTGCCAGGCTCAGCACTGGGCACTGGGGACAAAGAGAGGTTCCGACGAGTCCCGTCTGCAAGGAGTACCCAGTCCAGAGTGGTTACAGACCCGTAATTACAGCTTCCAGGAGGCAACAAGTGGGGGGGACTGTGCAAACCCAGAGGCACCGGCACCCGCCCTTTGGAGGCCCACCACAGCCTTCTCTTGAGCAGACACTTTGGCCATTGATCCTTTGTGGCCCACCCCATTGCTCCCCTGCTGGATGAACTCCTAGGCATCCCTCAAAACCCCATTCTCACATCACCGGTTCCGAGCATCCTGGGAAAGAGCACTCTCCCCATGAGCAGTCCTCTGCTACCCTTCCAGTTGGGCACTCATGAGGGCAGGCCAGGAAAGACTCCTTTCGGGAACACCCAGGCCAGGCAGAGACCCTGAGTACCTCCAACATGGGTCTTCCTATAGCCACCTAGACACTCTCCCGCAGCCCACCTCACTGGCCTCCTGAGGCATGGGCTAAGCACCCAGAGAAGGCTGCTTTGCACTGACTGTCTTGGGCTAAATTTGGAAGGACAGGAAGACCCACTCACTGCCTTGTGCCTGAGACCGGGAAGACGCTCCTTGCCCAACACACACAGCAAGCCCACAGGCAGGGATGGCAAGTAAGACTGGAAGAGGTACCGCCAAGGACAGGGCTCTGAGCCCCACCTAGCAGGCACAGGGGGCTCTGGTGACACTTGAGTAGGCGTGGCCTGGAGGCAGAGGGCTGGACTCAAAGACCTCTGGATGTGCCCCTACCCCCACCGGGGCCTGAGCAGGGCCTGGTGCTGACAGAGTCAGACAGCTGCCGATGGCCCCGTGTGTAAAAATATATCTGCACATACACAGGGCGGTGTGCATGTGCACAGAAACACACACACCAAGCAAAGGCCTGGGCTGCCTCTGGGCACAGGGTGGGCGGCAGGGACGGGACCTCTGCCTCTGCCCTGTGAGTGACTTCACCACAAAGGTGAATTTCTGCTATTATTACTTAAGTCACAACCTTAAAAAAATAATTTGTGCTCTGAAGAGCCCCCTCCCCCTGCGTCCAAAACACTGGTTTATGAACTGGATGCTCAGCTGGGGGGCAGGGAACCAAGCCCCACAAGTGTACCCCACCCTTCACCTGGACCAGAGCTCACAGCAGTTAGGGGTGGCCTGAGTAAGGTGGGAGGGGGCCAGGAGTGAATGTCGGGGGCCCTATGGCCACAGAGCACGGGCCCAGGGCCCCAACTCCGTCCACCGCGACAATACTTGGGAACCAATCCCACCCACCAAGTTCACCAGCTGCCCCGGGTCTCTGGGTTGGGTGGGCAGCACCTCCAGAACCCACCCAGCTCAGGAACAAGTCTCAGGGCCCAGGAGGGCTGCAGTCCTTTGTGGGAGGGCCTGGGCACCCAGCCACCATGGACAACTTTTTGTCTATGGGAAAATGAGGTCCCTTCCAAGGGCCCACCCACAAACTTCAACGAGGGCCGGGGCGAGCCTTTTCCTCGGCCCCCTGAGCACCTACTGTGCGCCGGGGCCCTCCTGGCCGGGCGCAACGGTGCCCCGGCCCCCCGCGCGCATTTTAATTAGTAGTTGTTAAACATGTAAAATTTTATGTAAATTTTATGTAAAAAGATCATGTAAATGATCTTTTTCCCTAATGAGTTTAGTTGGGTATCCATGAATGAATATTACTTATTGCCTGAATGAGACAGGATTCACTGTCAGTTCTCTTCCTAATTTTTCTTTTTATAGATGTAAGTACTGAGAAACATAGTTCTCATAAATTGGTAGATGGGACTGGTTGGAGTTTTGTCATGTAAGTGTCACTCAATTCTTTGAATACCTTTCTGATTATATGCTGAAATCATTACTGTAAAACATGTGAATGATCTGTCAGCTGACGACTAGATTAGGTCCTCCTTCAATTTTGTTGAAAACAAGGAATTGGAAACTACTGATTTGTGAAAGGGCTCAATACTTTCTCAGTATCTACACCTACTGATTTGTGAAAGGTCTCAATACTTTCTCAGTATCTACACCTACTGATTTGTGAAAGGTCTCAATACTTTCTCAGTATCTACACCTACTGATTTGTGAAAGGTCTCAATACTTTCTCAGTATCTACACCTGTATTTCAGATTACCCTTTGCTTGGGCTTCAGGGAATGCACCACAGTCAGACTGAGAATGGCCGAGAAGGGGTTGCCTTGTCCTCAAGTGCTAAGTGTCCTGTATTTCTAAGATAGACTGCTCTTAGGAAAGAGTATGGACATTGAATATCTGGAACTGGAGCTTGATTCTTTTAAAAACGTGCTTGTTCAAAAACCCTTAGGAAAATCTATATGACCCCCCCCCTCCCCCCCCCCCGCCCCCCCCCCCGCCCCCGCCCCGCCCGGCCGCCCGCCCACATCCGCCTCCGCCGCTCGGGGCGCCCCCACCGCGGGCCGAGCGAGGGCGCGGCGCCGGGAGCGGGAGCGCGCAGCGGGCGGCCCTCGGGGCCGGGGACCGCTGCGCTCCGCCGCGGGGCCTGTCCCCAGGCCACGTCCTCTCTGGCCTCGGTTTCCCAGTTTGTCCGGTGAGCCCGCACGTCTCGGCCCAGTACTGCCCCGACTCTGTTAAAGGGGCCGGTCTGGGACGAATCCTGGGCTTCTGCCTCCATCGGGCGGGGGTGGGGTTGGGGTGTAGGTTAGTGTGACTTTTAGAATGTGCCCCAAGTGGGTAGTTGAAGCTCGGGAGCTGGGGGCTCCAGGGGCCGGGATGGTCCTAAAAGACCCAATCCAAGGACCCTAACTAGTGCAGGTCCCCTGGGGGTCATGCAGGAGGCTGGCTGGAAGGTGGGCGATCCGTCATCTGTCTGTGTGCCGAAGGCCCACCGTGGGTCTCGCCCTGGAGTGGCCGGCAGTGCGAGGCCTGCTCCCTGGTTGGGGTCTGCCAAGAGCTCCCCTTCCCCAGAAGGAAAATACTGACACCTGGCAGCTACGAAAGTGGACGAGGACTTCGCGTGGTGACAGAGAAGAGGTCCACAGGGGCCCGTGGAGGGGTGTCCAGCTGGCGCCGCTTCAGCCAGCACACCTGGCCTGGAGTGACCGCCCTGAGTCGGGCACAGGCACCCAGAGGGGGTGCTGGAGGGGGCAGACTCCAGGGAAGAGCTGTCACGGCTGAGGCAGCCCAGGATCCTCCCTAATGTCTGGTTGGGCCCCAGGCACTCACGGTCCACTGGGGGACAGCTAAGGGGCCAGCAGGACACTGCAGACAACTCCCCACCCTGACCCCTCCCTGGGCCCTGTTGATCGCAAGTTTCTCCAACAGCTGCCCCTCCCCCACCCCTGAGGCCTCCAAGTTGATGGTAAGCCTTTTGTAAAAGGAAGACTCGTGGGCTACCTTTCTGGGGTTGGTATGTATTTTGGGGGGAGGAGGACATTTTTGTTCCTCGTCCAGGGTCAGAGTTCAGCCTGGGGGCTATAGACACTTCATCTGGGTCAGAGATGGAACAGCTGAGCACCCAGGACAGCGTCCACAGCCAGCACCGGGGCTCCGCCGTCCCTTCCTCTTGGGGCTGACCGAGAGAAGGACGCTCCTGAGGGAAGGACTGCCCACCCTGCTCAGGGGGACACTCACTCCTCCGGGGGAGGACACCCAGTTCTGGGCCTCTCCTCTTGGCACCCCGCCCTCCCACCCCAGACAGCTGCGTGGGCTCTGAATGTGCACCCCCAGGCCCCGCCTCCAGGGGCCAGGGGAGAGGCCCGACTGGCACGTGCTGCTGGGGCACCTGGCCGTCGCTCACCCCCTTCTGGGACCATCCCACCCACCCACCGTTCTCCCAGGAGGGGATTCCGCACCCACCCCCCATCCTGCGCTGGCAACGCTGAGGAGAAGGCAGAGGAGGCCCGGTGGCGTCGAGGGCCACTGGGGGCCCCCAAGAGGGCGCCCTCTCGTGGATAACATGGCGACGCCCCAGGCTGTCCTCGGGCCTGCTGGACATTTGAAGACAGCATCTTGGCCAGAGGTGTCATCACGGTGGTCCAAAACCTCCAGGCTTCGTCACCGCTCGCCCATCTCCAGGAGGCCTCCCTGCCTGGTGCGCACAACCAAGGGCCCGTGACCTGCAGTGAGCCCCACACCCCATTCCGTGCAGCGCCTACATGAGCCTGCCCTGTGGCTGGGGCATCTCTTCGGGCAGGGCCAGCGCCCTCCTCTGGCCTCCGGAGGGAAAGCAGGGTCCCTCTCTAGAACACCTCCTGCCTGCCCCCGCCCCCAGACAGAATGTCAAGGAGAGGACCCAGACCCACCGGCCACCCTGGCCGAGGCTCAGGCCGCCGAGGAGCCCCTTAGACAGATGTTTGCAACAAAAACTGCTGCACCGGCCCCTGGGGAGGAAGGCCACCTGCCCCCTCCTAAAGCACAGTGTCCTCCGGCCCTGTCACCTTCCGCAGCTGCCGGCCATCGGGCAGGACTCGGGCAGGACTCAGGGGCCGGAGCCCCGGGCTGCCTAGTCTCGGCAGCAGCTGCAGGGCGGGGCCTCCAGGCAGCTCCCGGGCCAGATGGCCGCCTGGCTGGCTGCGTTCAGGGAAGCTCTGCCCCCACCACTGCGACAGCCTCCTGTCATCCTTGTACCCGAGACTGTACCAGGCCAAAGAGGGGATCTGGGAGCCGGGGGGCTGCTAGCTGCCGAGTGCCATCTCGGGGCTGCCTGGGATGGCCCCTCCTCGGCCTTAAGGAAGACTTAACTCCAGGAAGACTTAAGACCTTCCGACCAGAAAAATGCACGGGCCTCTCTCCCCCATCCTCACCTCCCAGTGAGGTCTCTCCTCCTTTAGCCATCCCTACCCAGCACAACCCCAGCCTCTTGCTGGCAGCGTCCCCTGCTGCTGCTTCGATCCCTCTCCATGCCCCACAACCTCTGTCAGGGCCCCAAGGAGCCCTCTGTCCCACCAGCCAGGCAGGGCAGGCCAGGTCACTCTGCCCGCCCCAGGGCCTCACTCCTAGCCTGGCTGGGAAGCTGTGCACCAGGGCTGGGCAGGTGGGCACGACAGAGCAGTCGGGATTAGGTTGGTGGCACCCGTGGACGTCCCACACAGACGCCTCTGCCCTGCTTTCACTCAAGAGACACAACTGCACCCGCACTTTGTGCCACGCCAACTTCTTAGCAGCAAGGATACAGCGGGGAGTGGGGGGTGGCAAGGTCACATTGACACGGGGAGCACTCTGGAGAAGGCTAAGGCCACAGAGGAGATTGTGGGTTTGGGGGGACCTGAGCGGGGGTGATCAGGAAGGACCACTCCCAGGGGGTGATGCTGGCGCAGAGACAGGACTGGGGAGGAGCCGGGAAGGGCTCTCCGGGGAGACAAGTGTGGAACCTAAGGACTGGCCATGAAAGGGCCTGGAGTCTTGCTGTGTGCCAGGCCCCGCAGTTAATCTACCCATTCTGCAGATGAGAATATTAAGGTTTGAAGAGGTTAAGGGTCATGCCCAAGGTTGGGAGGGGGCAGGGGCAGGGCTCTGATGCAGGCAAGACCCCAGGAGGCAGTCCCCTCCGGGTTCACTCTGAGCTGACTTGAAATCAGCTCCCCCCGCTGGGGTGGGGGGGCGTGGGTGTGGAGGAGCAGGTTGGCCCTCCTCAGGAAGGGATCCCCAGAGCGCCTGGGCCATGGGAGCCAGGGCAGTCTCTGTGGCTCTGAGCGCAGTGTGAGCCCAGGGTTCCAAGCTGAGACTGCCGGGCATAGGAAATAACAATGCAAGCTGTCCAGTCAAATTTGAATTTCAGATAGATAAGGAATAGTATTTTAGTATAAGAATGTGGCTTTCCTTCCCTCAGACTTTAGGTCCTAACTGCGGTGGGCCCTGGGGCCTCTGGCCACTCCTCAGGCCCCCAACCCACCAGGGTTTGAATAGGATCCCTGGGGGCTCCCACCCCATCTCACAGCCAGAAACCCCCTCCTCCCAGGGGTCCCAGCCTTCCAGGAGCATGGCTGGAGGGCTCCCCACACCTCTTGCTGCTTCCTCTGCCCTGGTATACCTGGCCAGTGGGGTCCCGGCCTTTGTAATCCACCCCTCCCCCAGCACCACCCCCACTTCTGGTCAAGGCCTCCTTTCTACTCCTCCCCGGCTGCTGGGCTATGCAGGTGAGAATTGAGGACACTGCCAGATCTGAATCCTGGTTCAACAACTTACTGCCTGCTGTGTGGCCCTGGGCACCTTAGCGAACCTCCACCTAAACAGGTGTCATAATCAGAGCACCTGACTAACAGGATTGTTGTAAAGAGCTGAGCAATGGTCCACAGTGCCTCAATCCTGCTCTGCCCAGGGTGGCTGGGAAGAGACTCCCACCAACAGTACACCCCATCCCAGGGGCCCCAACCTCTCCAAAATCACTTCTATTTTTCTTGGGCTCTTTCCTTCACGCAGCAGATCTGGGTGTCCCCTCACACCTTCACGGTGCCCTTGCACCTGAATCACCAAGCCCAGGGATCGCCAACCCAGCCCCTCCAAGGTGTCTCCTCTCCCTGAACGCTTTCCCGCTGGCTCTGGGCTCTGGGTGCACATTCCTCTCTCTCCATCACCGCGACGGTCCCCTCACCCCCATCACTTCTTCTGGGACGTGCCCAGCCCCCAGTGCTTTCCCAATACACCACTCAGCGCCTGGCTCCCAGCAGAGGCTTTGCTGGGTGGGCTGACAAGATGAGCGTTCTCTGTTCAAGATTCCAAGGTCGAGAACCCGGCTGAGTGTTTGGAAGAGGGTCCCAGATAAATTAACTTGAATTCAAAACGAGGCATTCAACGAAAAGGGGGTGTCAACTTTTCCATATTTACGACCCCCCACTCCCCCTCCTCCATCCCAGGGCAGGCGCCCCGCGAGGTGGCAGGAGGCCGTGTCCCGTCTGTGCCTTCGGGTGACTTGCTCCAGCGCTGGCCGGGAGAGGAGCTGGTCCTCGCAAGGGGTCCCTTAACAGACGGGCGCAGTTGGGACCATGGGGGGGGGTACCCTGAGGACGAGACGGCAAGTATCGCGAGAGAGCCCCCTCTCCCCCCCCCCTCCGCTCGCCCCGCCCCCCGTCCCCCCCCCCCCCCGCCCCCCCG